CAGCCTCTGTAAGCTATGTGTTTCACTGCTTATTCCAACCACCAGAAAGATTTTCGTTATGTCAGAATTTCTCCTGTTGCAATTTTGAGCTTGTTACTCCTCTCACTCTCCTAAATCATAGGAAGAATTTATTTCTTTCCTCTGGATGAAATTTTGTCATTTTTCTTCATGGTCTTTTCTAGACTGCATAACCCTCATTCATTCATGAATTTGATCAGAAATCTGGAAGACTTCTACTACATTCACATTAGCTAAATTGTTCTTGAAGTACAATACTCAAAATTGGATACAGTATTCCAGGTCAAAGTCTCATCTGTATTGACTAGAAATGAAAGCTTACATATAAAACATGTAAGAGTCTGTTTATTTATCATTATGTCAATATGTTCCAAAATCATGCAGGTGGGATAATTAAACATGTTCAAGTTTCTGTTTACTGTAATCCCAAGAAACTTTCTGGAGAAGTGGGTACACTATCATACTATTTATTTTTGGGTTTTGGTAGTTGATTATTCCTACATGTAATACTTCATCCTATTTATTTCAGATCATTGGTGTTGATAAATTGAAAATTCCTCCTGTCCTCTAAAGAGCTCTCAGTTCCTACCCTTGGAATGTCTCAGATTGTATGTATACTCTAGTAGCATCTGCCTCACCTATGAAAATATAAATAGCTTTGGAATCAGATAGACTACCATGGAATTGTCTAATACATTATTCTTAGGTAATCATTTAATATTTTAAAATGGGCTTAAGGGCAGGCTAGAAGAGAAATCCATTGAGCGGTACTAACACATGGGAACCGTATCTGGCTCTTAAAGCTTGAGATTATTAGAAGGTCCCACATATGCATCCCCTATCCTTAGGCTAATACTCTGGGCATCCACCTTAGGCTGCTTGTCAGAGCCACTTTATGTTCTGGCCGTATAGGTCAGAACAAAGATCCATTTTCCGCTGCACTTATGTTCTTAGGGCTATAAATTATTGATACTTAACTAGGTAATGCAGCTTTTTGGCCACTTGTGTCACCCATTGTATAGACTACAGGAAATAACTGTATTTCCTTAGATTGTCATGAAACTGGCATTTGAAACACAAGGTCCACATTAGCACATCTTTTTCTTTTTCCCTATCTACAGTTCTTGCTCAGTTAAGAAAACTGGGGACATGTGACATGATTCTCACTGCCAGTTCTATGCCAGTGGTTTTTTTCCAGGAATGGAAGTTAGGTTGATTTCGTCTAAAATTCTTTGACTTGTCTTCTTCCTTCTTAGACACCACACTTTTATTTCCTTCCCCACCTTTTAAAATCCCACCTACACTGCAGAATTCTCCCAACACAATTGCTCACTGTGCAGGTGACTTCAGAGGGGTCCTGCACTGCCCTTCCCTGGGAGATACACAGCTGCCTTGCTCCGGGTAGCTGCCTTGCAAAGAACCCAAACAGACCCCCATACTGATGATATGGTCATGTTTTTAAGACCTGGAGACTTTCAGCAGGACTCTTACTGCAAGGAGTACCACTTGGCTCCCTAATTTTGTCACGTTTTCCAAATTAGAGAAAGGAAAAGATTTAGAAATGCTGCAAGCCGTGTTCTGAGTTGCGTAGTCCCACTGTATGTAATGTAGGTTGTATTACTATATATACACTGTAAAACCATAGCCACAACTGTTACTGTAGCCTTAACAGTTCAATCAGATTACAAGACATGGAAACTAATAGATAGGTTGATTGTCAGTTTAAAAAGGAAATGCCTAGAGCTCCTCTGCTGCTACATTTTCATCGCTTGCAAACCCCCACCCATCTCGGCTTTGTTACAGAGACATCATGAGAGCAATAATCCCCTAGTTTTCTTGAAGACACTGCACCATTTAACTTAGTGTTCTTTGTCAGGTAAAGAGTGACATCCTGTTTTCTCTAGATGTTTGTGCTGTTCAGCATGATTCTTTTACAGCAATAACCGGCACTACGCCTCCCTGCTACTTTTTATCTGCATTGTTAAACATAAGTGTTTTATTGTATAGCTTACCTAAACATCTGTAGTATGGTTATTGACACATGGCAAATAACTGTGTGAAAGATGGTTATCAAAACCAAGAGTAAGAGAGAAAGCTGCACAAGCAAGTAGATGATTAGAAGTTGATCCATTTGATACAAGAAAAATAACAGTAATCTTTCAGTTGTTATTATTTTAGAAGAAGCTCTCGTTGTGTAAAGAACATCATTTGTTACACACAGTTTAGCTGTCTTTCCAACCACACCACACTGCATCAAACCCACGTAATTCATTTGCTATTTACAAAGAACACCGTATGTGAAAGAGAGGATTTATAAATATACTAGTACTGGTGAATGCTTGTATTAATCCAGAAGCTTCTGCAGACCAACATTTTCCAATAACACAGGCTTCACAGAACTTCTGCTAGCTTGAAATCCAATTATTTGAAGTAGACATAACTCAGAAAAAGACTACTGAAATTGTAAATACAAAGTGCTTGAAATAACAGTTGTTTGTTGTTTCTTTTTTTTTTAAATTATTCCCTGCCTTACAAAGAACCAAACTTACAGCCAAATCTTATCATTAAGATGAGCTCATTAGGCACAGAACTCTCTTTCCTATATATAACTAGAGGGAGGAGCAGCAGACCCTTTTCGTGTTCATTTACTTTTAGGATTAAAAAGTAATTTTCAGTCTTAGATGACTTCTTAGCTTCCAAAAGTAAAAAAAACCAACCCAATGATATGATCTTGCATGCTTTATAGAGTTGGAGTTTTATAGATAGTTTCAGTCATATCTAAGTGATGACAATAATATTTGTGGTTCTGCCTTCAAAATAGGTCTTTTGATGCAATAGAGTGCCATTTTGATATTTTTCAACATACATCACACCGATGTTTTGTGTAAATTTATGGGTAAGGGACTTTTGTGCTTAGGTCTAATATTTAGCAAGCTGGACTAAACACATTGTTAAAGTTCAGAAAAGGTGCTGGAATGAACAGAACTTTTTAATGTTTATCACATTACCAACTTTATGAGTCTTGCTCTCTACAGTACCAGATTCTAATGAGAAAGTGTTTTTTGCTAATTTAAGAAAGCCTCAGAACTACTGAAGAGAAGACTGCTGACCTGTAGCAGGCAAACTTATTTCATCTATAATACATAAAAGATCAGAATTTTCCTTTGCAGAAACTATGCCAAGTTACAACTGGGAATAGAATACTAGCCGATTAATGTGTTGTTAAAAGACAGCTAACTTAAACTTCCAGAAGTAGTTTAGAGATTAAAATTGTTGGGCTGCAATGAAAAGCATAGTTACTATCCTGAATTTAATAGATGTTTAGAAAGACAGACATGAAATTAGGACAATTTCCCTCATAGCAAAACCTTGAGATTCTGAAGCATAATTTGTTTTACTTATTAGTTCATCATATCTTTGGTCAGAAAACCTGTTGCTACAATTGAGCAAGTTGTCAAACACAACAATTCGCCTGAGACATGGTCAGTAAAACTGAAAAATGGATAGATAGTGACTAATATAATAGATTTGGCAAAGATATTTCAGATACAAAGATAAGAGCTTTTAACATTTTCTTTCTGTCTTGCAAACACTGGATTTAATAGATAACAACATCACTTGGTATTATAATAGTTACTGAAAACAACTTGGAAAACATCCTCATATTTAAGAATAACGTTTAACCATCAGCGATTAGGGTGAACATGGTAAATGCATGCAGTTTTGCAGCAAAGTGTGATGGAAGACCAGCTGGCAACCAGAATCAGTATACCAGAGAAAGACAGACCTTGGGTATGTCACTATCCTCAGCAAACCATAAACTTGTAAAAGAAGCAAATTTTTCTCAACTAGTGTATCTTTGTAAAGTTTCTTCATTTAATAATTTTTGTGGAAGGAACTGCTTGTTGGACTTAACTACAGGTGCAAAGAGCAAAATGCTAGCAGCAGATCCAGGTTTACAGTAGGTGCTAGGGGAAAATAACGCTGTGATCGCAAATCCGTAAGGGATTTTTTTTGCCAGTTTCTAATTTCTTACAAGAATTTATTGCTAACTTGTTTTCCGTATTAATACAAAAATACAGTGGCACTTCAAATCCGCTACAGCAATTTATTAAAACCTGCACTTTTAAACTGGGACATTTGTCAAATGTAACAGATTGAATAACTGACATTTCACAACTTTAGCCTCTAAAATACAGAGGTGCAAATGAGTTTACTTCAGCACAATTCTACTTTTTTCAGTACCAAGGAAGTTTGTATTTGCTAGGAAGTTTGTTTTCCCAATGACATTTTTTTGAGAAGAACTTAAACCTTGGTCAGCATTTTTAGATGAGCTCTAAGTCACCCTGACTGTGGTTCAGGAAAACAAGCTAGTTATGATTGATGTTTCCAACATGAATCTTAAGCAGCAAAGACCTCTTAACATGACCCTCCTGAGTTCTAATGTATCAAGATAGTGATACGTTACACAAGTATGTGATACATATAATACCTGTATATATACACTATACATATACACACACCCTGTATATATAAATATATATATGGTGCACCTACAAAGCTGCAAAAGTTTTTTGGCCTATTACTGTCAGTTAAGGTACAAGCACAATCATCAGGAGTCACCAACCAAGAAGTGGATATGCCAAAATGTTAAAATAAAGCCTGACACAATAGATGTGCTTTTATTGTTCTTATTTTTAATAGTGCAAAAAAATAAAAAAGTCAGTAGTTTACTATTTTAAGATATTCCTAATTCTAAAAATATTTCCATTTGCAACCAAGAATGCAGTAGCACTTTTTTTGCAAAAAAGTCAGGTAAAATATTTGAGGCCAAATAAATTACTATAATGTTTTTTGTGGAACTGAATTATAAAACAGTAGTCCTTTATACAACCTCAAGAAAAAAAGCTTTTAAGAGATCTTTTGCCTTTGTAGAAGAGCATATTGGCAGTGTGTATAAAGCAAATAAGTCCATTTGTAGCTCAAGCTGTACAAAAGTCAATATGTGCTAGTAATTCTCTGTGCTGGCTTGTTGGATACTGCACTTTACACCTGGGGCACTCAAGAAAACTTTCATCAAGAAAGCTTGAATGTTTCAGGGAAGGACTTCTGTCATATGTGGTCAGTTTCTCTTCAAACACAGCTTGCAAGTCTTCTTGTGGTTCCATACGTCCAGATTCCTGAAGTTTCTGGAAAAGGAGAAGCTTTAGTGTAAGACTGGGGCATGCGTGTGCTGATCAAACACTGTAGGAAATAACATGAAGGTTTGATGGCACACAAGCCTTGTGTGCGTTACAGCACTAAGGGCAGAATTTTAAAGATGGCTAAATGCAGTTATGCTACTTGTGTGAACAGCAGCAAGCCTGTTGTACAAATCTAACACCACATTTAAATTAGATTGCATGTAGCTTTTCTGCAGGCTTTTTAAGACAGGTTTCCCCACAACGTCTGACTGGGAATCCTTCCCCAACCATCTTCCTAGCCACTCACACACTCTTTTTCCTTAATAAAAAGATGCTTCAGTCCCCTCTATGTAGGCTGCTGCCTAGTTATGTTCCCAAAAATCTCTGCCATAATTTTCTCTTCTCCTGATCCCATGCATGAAGTTTCTGTGTGTGAAGACTGTCCCTAACTGTAAAAGTCACCCAGTTGTGTATTTGACAGCTGCTCCTCCAGCTTCTTAGCACAGAGAAACTCAAAGCTGTAACTTCCCTGCTCTGCCCAAATTTCTGCTCTACTCCCAGCAGACAGAAGGTTTTCCAGTGGCCTCCCCTGGCAGCAGCAGCAATTGCAGTCCTAGCAAGCAAGGCTCTTCCAGGGGCAATGCATGAATGAAGAACATCAGTGTCTCGGAATTCATTCCATCCCCTTTCTCATTTGAGAAAATACTTCCAAATTGCATACAACTAAGAGGGAGAGCAGTCCAGCAGAGTCACAGAAGAATTACTCTCATGCAACTTGTTAGGAGCTTTTGTATTTATCTTCTCCGTAAAAAGCACAGCAGCCCCAGATCTGATCTAGTGAAGGGCACAGGTATTGGTTTTCATCTTGAACCTCATTTAAGTAAGTTCAGAAATGCAGTTTTGACAATCCTATTCAGCTATTGCCTAATCTTACAGGATGCCATATCGTAGAGTTCGAGAAGCACCAGTCAAAATGCATTTTTGCTCAAGACCAGAGCAATCCTGGATATGACAGAGCAAACCAGATCAGTGGCTTGCTTAATACGCAATCCTTTCCTACAAATTTCTCCATTAAGTCTAGGGATCAAATCTAAGTGGCTTTCTTCGGGCTTATATAATAAGCAGCAAACAGACCATGGCTCTCACAATACAAATGTGCTGTTTCATTGTAGTAGGGAGCTTGTCTTTTTGGAAATGAAAAACTCAGGTTTCAATGACCCACCCATCCTGTATCAGATGGATGTGGGGCAGAAATTAAACTCTTAAATGTAAAGATTGTGTTCTGTTCATGAGCAGCAAGTCTGAGTAGAAGCATACTGCAGCTTTATCGTTGTGCAACAGACAAAACTAGATACACACTACGATACAAAATACAGTTATGTTCCCTGCTCGGGAACCTGACTATTCTGATCTCCTTCTGCAGTACTAGTTCTTCATGCATGCTGTAGAGAAAAAAGATGCCTAGCTAGTTGACAGCAGCTTGGGGCCACATGCCTAAAGGATGGAAGGGCCTACAGTGAAGATCTGATGACATTAACAGAAGACTTACTACACTTGAAATAAGGTCCCAAAGTGAAGAGATAGACATTTATGCAAAATCCCTGACTAAATTCACTTGCCATTTATTCAGTACTTACCAGAGGTTCCAGACGGGTTATTTGCTCCCTGGCCTTGCGCAGTTCCTTAAGGACTTTGTTTAACTGATGCTGCAAGTTCTGGCGATCAAGTTTTTCATTCTCAAAGTCTGTGGTGCATATCTGGATCTGGCAGCCATCCAGTGTGAAAATTAAAGAATTAAAGAAAGAACTATTAATTGGGGGGAGGGGAAGGGGGAGAGAGAAATGTTTCCCCTTTATATATTTAAAGTAAGTTTTACTCTGCCATCATATCCTAAAATGGAATTTAAAAAAAATATTTTAAAGAGTCACTTATTGCTTTCACTACAGTGAAATTCATACATGCCCAATTATGAAAGTCTTCCTTAGTAGAGGTGGAGTTTGAAGTTCTTTTGATTGGAGGGTATTTCAAGCTGTCTTGCAGTCTTAAATGAAACATTTTATGGGAAAGCATGTAGTGCAATTCTCATTAAAAATGCCAGTTTCTACTCCAGAATCTTTCTTGTAGCAAGACAATTTGGACAGAAACTACGGGTAACACTGTACACTCAAACTGGAAAAAAATGTTACATTTATTTGCTAAATAACATCAATTAGATCTGTGAGAATGTACTTGGAAAAAATGACGAAGATGGAAAAGATGGCAGTGCAATTATTTGTATAACTTTCGTAAAAGTATATTTCAAAACGTCAATGAGCTGATTTGTTTTAGGATGTTTCCCACATCTAATTTGAGTCTGCAGAGTTGAACAAGTGATTATGGAGATAATAGCATCAGGTTTTATCACACCCTGTTATCGGTAAAAGATTACCGATTTTCCTCTTGACAGCTGCATCAAAATTTTTAGAAGCATCAAGAGATTATTCAGTTTAATATTCATATTTAGTATTACTTTATTTAATATATTACTGCTTCTTAAATTTCGAAGTTAAAGTCTAGAAAGCCTTTGTGTATAATAGAGACTAAGTATCACCATCTTAGCACATAATTCAGTACCTGTTGTTCCAATAAAGCTATCCTAGTGTGTTCCTCCTGCTGTTTGAGCAATGATTTATGAAGAAGTTGCACCTATGAGGCAGAAATATATTTGCAATAAAGAATTTCCATATACAACAGTTAATAAGCTTAATAAATAACAAATCTAAAAAGGAATGGAAGTAAGCCTTTATATTCCAACGCCAACAGAAAAATGTATGCCTGTTATGCAACAGCCAAACTCAATTCAGATATCGCTACCCTGGGGAAAACCTCAGGGAAACATAATTGCATTCAGCAGGGGGAATGCAGGATCATGTTATGGTTCAAAAGAAAAAAAAAAAAAAAAAAAAAAAAAAAATCAAGCTGAACTGTCCTAGGTGATTGCTGAGATGCAGACAAAAATATACACACAAAACCTATGTTTGCACTAACATGCCATGCTGTTAAAAAACACAAGCAATGCAACTTAATTTTTTTAAATAGAAGAGAACAAGTTTAGACTCTGATAGTACTACATTAAATTGGATTATGTAAACATTAAAAAAGTAAAAGTATCCTCCATTATCAGCATGTATCAACTTTTATACTGAATGCTCTGTTCAGCTGCAAAAAAAAAAAAATCAACACCTTTTAATCATTATTAACTAGTGAGAACCAGCCTGTGTTTAGAGAGCTAAACTGTTGTTCTGGTTTTAGCCTACTTTGGTGCCTACTACATTTTATTCTTGTATTTCAAATTTCAGTTCTACATTGCTTTGTTATCGATCACAAACTTCTCCCAGTAGCAAGTCTATCTTATTTGGATGCCCTGAGAACACTCCTTCAAGGAGGACTCTCCAGTTTCTCTTCAGCAGATATGTGGTCATGATTTCACATCCAGAAGAAGAAACGAGATTTAATTTTTTTTTGTTAGCATAACCCTGCTGATAGGAATATTCCAAGACACCACTGTAATGCTCTGTGTAGAGGAAATGGCAAAGTCCTCATGAGAAGGTTGGGACACAGCTGCTTATCCGGTAAGCATGATACTACCAGTCCACAGGTATCTGTAGCAGACAGGTGACAGTTAGGACCGCATGATAAAATAGCCCATATGGACTTGAAATTTTACCTTTCCTGTTCCCATTTACTATTAACATTGAGGATGAACTAGATTAGAATCACTTAAGTATTCTCTCAGTTCTCCCTCTTGTGTCCAACAAGACCAGGAAAACAAGGGAACAAATAAGTTCCTTGTTTAAACAAGGAAATTTCGAAGTCTGAATGTCGATTCAAACCAATATATTAAAGAAAAAAAATCAGTTTTAACCACAAGGACATGAATCTAGATATACATAAAGAACGGTTACCAGAGCAAGTGAGTGATGGTCCATTCTGGTTAAGTATGACTTTTCAGCTCTCCTGATTCATTGCCAATGATCTTAAACCTCCAAATGCATCCACTTACCTGACATAAAAGATCTTCAGACTTTTTCTTTTCTTCTCTGAGCTGTCCTTTAATAGTTTCATTTTCTTGTTTAAGTCTCTGCACTTTCTCTTCTTTAATTTTATTTTCATTTTCTAGAGTCTTCATTTCAGCAACCTGTTGAGACTGCATTAAGGCATTTAAACTCGTTATTTCTTGGTTTGTTTCTTCATACTTCTTTCTGAATTCATTAAGTTCGGATCTCAGCTGGGTTACAGTGCGTCTTTCTGTCTCAAGATCACTCTTAGCGGTTAGTAACAGCTGGTCATAATATTTTTGCTTTTCCTCCTGTAGATGACCTTAATGAGTCAGAAATAATTGAGATAGTAATGAGGGGGAAAAAAAAAAAATCACTTAAAAATCAGAAAATCCTTGACAGGATTTTAAGGCACATTGATAGAAATTGACATTCTAAGCTATTACACAGCTCAAATTGGCACCAAACTTTAGTTAAAACAGTTTCCAATACTTCTAATGCAGTGAAGTCTCCTTCCCAGTATAGTTACTGGAAAACTGCAACTTGGCTTGTGTATAGTGTTCTGTGCTACAGCCACTTCCTTCACTAACCCTGACAGCAATATTATATCCTTTGCCCTGACTACATAAGCTCCATGAGCCACACATAATTCTTATATGGCCTCATTCATTATCCTGATGCATGGGAATCAAGGCCTGAAGACACTAGATTCTCACTTCCAGATTTAGGCTCCTTAGCCAAGATTCTGGCATTAATGCCTCCCCAGTGATACCCTGGGGATCTGATGGGCTCTTCTTCACTTTTATTGACCAAAGCCAGACTATCCATTGTCTTTTGCAGATTATCTTCTTCAAGTTGTATGCCATCATTTACTTCTAAATTGCAAATAAAAGGGACTAGGATAGTTTTATTGATAAAAAAATGCCTGCTTCTTGGCTAGTGACTGTTACTTAAACCAGAGTTTGGAAAATTTCTGCTTGGCGACCCAAGAAAAGTTTAGTAAGTAAGAAAAAGAAAAAAAGGCAGTCTGTAGAAATTCAGTATTAATACAAAATATGCCTAAAAGCAGAAAGAGGAATGCGGAATTTCACAGGCTTTGGCACTGTAAATTTCTTGACTTTGATACTTTTCCTATTGAAGGCTTCCCCTCATTCTTCAACGTGTTATTTAATAGAGGAAGTTTCTTGCTTGAATGTTCTCCCTCCCCTCAACTATGAGCCAAACCTTACCTTCTCATTAGCAGTACTCCTTTATAGGGCGGTGAGATCCTCAGAGAAATACCAAGTTTTTCCTTGGAAAAAAGTTGTCATATCTACTTTCAACTTGTATAGCTAGGTTCCTAGAAACTCGGATGTCTGCTACTGTCTAGCTGCTTGAAGAAGGGAACTTTTCTTAAACCCTTACTCCTAATCTTCTAGCTGCTCTGACAACAAAGCTTTGACTGCAGTAACTCCGAGTTACATTTCCTGGTGAGCTACTTCAGTTTGCTTCCTTCTAGAAGTCTATAAACAGTATTTTAAACAGCAGCAAAACCAGATTATGATATTTTACTGTTTTCCATAAAGATTCAAGCAGTAATACAGAAACCAAGCCACTGCACAGGAATTACTAAGTGGCAAGTATCTGTGGGCATACTTATTCCAAAAGATGCTAGTTCTATTTACTGAATTTAACCTTGCAGGTCAGTTGCAGTATATATGAAATTAATAATTTCATAATAAGAAAAGCAAGCCAACTCCTTCTGTTCAATGTGATTTTAATTTTATTCCAGATGCTGCTCAAGCACAACTCAAGTCAGTCTGAATGCATGGTACTGAAAGGGTGCTCGTTACTGAGGAGCTACTTAGCACAGAAGTGAGCTAGAGGTGACCAGATCCGTATTAGGAAACACTGTTCAGGTGAGTAAAGAACGTGGCATTCTTGAGTCATTTTTATAATATTTATTTTGAAAAAAAAATATTTAAAAACCTGATCCACACCTAGCTAATAAAATCCTTAGTGCTTCCATTATGCAGGTTGAAAGTGTACTTTGAAGGATGGGAGACATACATATATTTGCCTCAACACTTTTGGCAAACAGAGAGGTTGCTAATAGAGTGTCAAGGCTGTTAAAAACCATCTTTGAAGTAGATAAGAACATGAAATACTGTCGATCAAGTAATGCAGCTGGGTAACAGGAAGCAAAGAAATTTTACTTAACCAAATTTTAACATTAAGAAACCAGAATGTTGAGAAGGAAGTCTTGATCTTGTTTAATTGTGCTATAATTTGCTTTCAGAAAACTTATTCTATAGATAATTATGGTTTGGGTCACTTGTGGGGAAAGAATAAAATTGATACCTTCCGAGTTGAAATCTTTTGATTCTTGTGGGCTAACTATTTCCAACTTCTGTTCAAGTTCAAAGATCCTTCCAAGCAATCCCCTGACATACGCTTCACGTTGCTGGTCATACAGTAGCCACTGTTGGTTTTTCTCAAGAGCCTTCATGAAAAGGAACATAAGAACAACAAAAAAGCCTCTGGCAATTTATCACATTTTAAAAGTACTAGTCATCTTAAAAATGTTAAGAGTTATACAAGATAGTTGGGGTTGTTCAGCCTGGAGAAGAGGAGGCTCCGGGGAGACCTTATAGCAGCTTTCCAGTATCTGAAGGGGGCCTACAAGGAAGCTGGAAAGGGACTTTTTACAAGGGCATGTAGTGATAGGACAAGGGGTAATGGCTTCAAACCAGAAGAGGGGGGATTTGAAATACATATTAGGAAGAAATTTTTCACTGTGAGGGTGGTGAGGCACTGGAATAGGCTGCCCGGGGAAGTTGTGGATGTCCCATCCCTGGAGGTGTTCAAGGCCAGGCTGGATGTGGCCTTGGGCAACCTGGTCTAGTGGGACGTGTCCCTGCCCATGGCAGGGGGGGTGGAACTATGTGATCTTCAAGGTCCCTTCCAACCCAAACCATTCCGCGATATATTATACAGTTTAAAGATAAGCTAGTTAATTCTGCTGCAAATTGTAGTAGCTTTCTCTGTACAATAAATAAAGCCCATCTTCATTTGGAAAGATAAGTCAGGTTGTTGAGCATAAGTTAAAATTGCAGCAATATTAAACACTGATTGGCTTGTTGCTCGGAATGGAAAGACAACTTTAAACCAGAGGTTTTCATGAGTCACGCCCAGATTATGAAGAATTAACCTTTCAATCTCAAATATAAAATCGAACAAACTAAAACTGTATCATTGCGACTTAAAGTTTGTAGGAACAAGGACGTGGATTTTATATCTGATTGGATCATAGAATTATTCAGGTTGAAAGGGACCACAGGTTTCTAATCCAAGCTCATGCTGTCCCAGGCAGTGTCAGCTCAGAAGCTAGACCAAGTTTTTTTAGGGCTCCCATTTTGTCAGCAACCACTTTGTTCTGATGCTCCAAGCAATGTTTTTCAAAGATGGTGGAAATAGTGTATTTTTTATTTAAATTATTGTCTTGTCACAAAATAATTTTAAATATTATATTTTAGAGGGAAACATAACTCTCTGAGGTCCCAAAAATATATATGGTGATAATTTACATTCTTATGCATCTTGATACAAATGATTTATACTTGCAATGTTGTACATGAAACTTACATCTTTCAATTGTTTTTCAACTTCATAAAGATTAGTTGGTGATCCAGTGCTGTTTGTTACAGCTTCCTGCAGACAAAGAACAACCTGTTAGTGTTCTTTAAAATAGATGGCTGAAACAGTAATGCTAGTCCTGTATGACTATTAATCTCACATAAATAGCATAAGAGTATTTTAAAAATTGAAAACAGATGCATGCATGTGCCTTTTGTGTTTAAAGATCTTTATAGTCTTCCTTTTTTAAAAAAAAAAGGATCTAAGTTATGTAGAAAACTATTTCATAGATTTAAAATAAAATCTGGAAGATACAGGACAAGATTTACATTTAACTAATTCTATAACTCTGCAACTCATAGTTATATTAAAACATTTCCCAAGAAGAATATCATGCATCTTCTGCTGAACTGCTATCTTGGAAGACCTGAAAGGTGCAGGAGAGCTTCCGAAAAATATTATTTAAATACACAAAAAAGGTGTTTGTTCTATTTTTGTATCCTCGTGCATTAGACAATAAGCTAGACCTCTAAGAGTTGTTGGGGAAAGCTAGAGACCTTGACAACTTCGTTGGGATAACAGGAGGATTATAAACATCTGGGAAACCATGCAAGCCTGTCTGGACCCATAAGGGCATATGGTTGGTTTTCTGAGACCTGATCCACAGTAGAGTGCTTAAAGTATGAGTTGAAGAGTTGTTTAGATCTATATAAAATTAAACAGCAGTTAAACAGTTATATTTCTTTCAGAATCTGACACGCTTATTCACTGTATGATAGAAAGCTTTTTGGAATTGTGCAGGTATGTCAGAGGGAACTTTAAGGAAAAAGTAGATTACTGCCAAAATCCAAGCTACATTTTTCCAAAGTTTTCCTGTGGTTTTTGGAACATGATTTAGAACAAGCTTTACAGCTGAAAAAAATACAGGAGATCTTAAATTCTCTAACAAAGTTAAAAGTCTCTTGAAATTGAAAATAAATACATTGTATTTAAAGTGGTATTTCCCAAGATATTGCATTACTAGAAGTGAGATATAGATATATATATATATATGTATGATCACTGAAAATTAGTAGATCAAGGTATTTTGCTATTACTTGGCTAAAGCCACATTTCTAGAAATTACTCAACTTCCCTGTCAAACATGGGGAACCAGCACCATCTGCAGGTCAAAAGCTGGAAAAGACTTATAGGCACCAACTTCCCTGTGCCCCTTATTGAGATGCTACTGCTTTTTCCACGGACTATCAGAACAGGTAGGAGTGAAAAAACTGTAGAAAACTAAATGCACTAGTAAAAAGCTGTTAAGTAGCTGGCACCATACCTATTAATCATTTTATATAAGAGAAGCCACTCATTATTCCTGTCCTATCTTCTGTCCCGTAGAAGTACTTACCATGTGTGATGCCATGTAAAGTACAGGCAACTAGTTTTAACTGAGGAGCAAGTGAGGATTCATGAGAGCAAGGAGGAGAAAGATATTCTTATAGAATCATAGAATAGTTTGGTCTGAAAGGGACCTATAAAGGTCAGCTAGTCCAAACACCCTGCAATGAGCAGGGACACCTTCATAGATCAGGTTGCTCAGAGCACCATCCAACCTGACCTTGAATGTTTCCACGGATGGGGCATCTACCACCTCTCCAAGCAACCTGTGCCAGTGCTTCAGCACCCTCATAGTAAAAAACTTTTTCCTTATGTCTAGTCTAAATCTTCCTCTTTTAGTTTAAAGCCATTAACCCTTGTCCTATCACAACAGGCCCTGCTCAAAAGTTTGTCCCCATCTTTCCTGTAGGCCCCCTTTAAGTACTGGAAGGGTGCAATAAGGCCTTCTCAGAACCTTCTCTTCTCCAGGCTGAACAACCCCAAGTCTCTCAGCCTGTCCTCATAGGAGAGGTGCTCCAGCCCTCTGATAATCTTTTTGGCCCTCCTCTGGACCTACTCCTACAGGTCCACGTCTCTCCTGTGCTGAGGGCTCCAGAGCTAGACACAGTACACTCCAGGTGGGGTCTCACCACAGTAGAGGAGCAGAATCACCTCCCTCAACCTGCTGGTCACACTTTTTTTGAAGTGTCCCAGGATATGGTTGGCTTTCTGGGCTGCAAGTGCACATTGTCGGCTCATGTCCAGCTTTTCTTCCACCAGTACCCCAAGTCCTTCTTGACAGGGTTGCTCTCAATCCCTTCATCCTCCTTGCCTGTATCAATACCAGGCGTGTTGCTGAATAGCTCAGCCTTCTCCTTGTCTGTTGTTATCATTTTGCCAGTCTTACTTTTTGGGGGGAGGGGTGTACGCTTTTTTGACCTTCCTTTTCTGGCTAACATACCTATAGTAGGCCGCCTTATTTTGTTTTGCATCCCTTGTCAAGTTCAGCTCCAGCCACGCCTTGGCTTTCCTGACCCCGTCCCTACACAACTGGGCAGCATCCCTACACTCTTCCCAGGATACCTGTCCCTGCTTCCAACTGCATTTCTTTCTTGCCCTTTAGTTTGACCAGCAGGTCTTGACTCGGCCATGCCAGTCTCTTGCCTTCCTTTCCCGATTTCTGACACCTGGGGATCAAGAGCTCTTGCACTCTATGGAAAGCATCCTTAAAAACCTGCCAGCTCTGTTCTGCTCCTTTGTCCCTGAGGGCAGTTTCCCAGGGGGTCCTGTTGACTAACACCTTGAAGAACTGGAAGTCTGCTTTTCTAAAATTCAGCATCCTGACTTTAATCTTCGCCTGACCCATATTCCTCAGGATTGCAAACTCCACCAGTGCACAATCACTGCAGCCCAGGCTGCCTCCAATCAGCTTATGACTGAAACTGAGTTAGGTGATGAGCATAGTTTGTCTTTATTAATGCCTCATGTCTCTTACAGCTGCCTTCTCAGTCTGTTTAATCACTGAGCATACAAACCCGAGAAGGGCATAATATCTGCTTAAGCAACAGTGGATCATTACATGTAGTACCACTAGTCACACCACCTCCGTGTAAGCTGGAAGAAGGTTCCTTGCACTACAGAATTAGAGAATTCCCTCCCCAGCTGCATTGCCTGAAGTTGAGCTCCCTGACTGTTCTTCATTTAGCATTCAATCTGCATATAATCTCTCTTCATACAATAGTTTTTCAGCATGCAATGCAACTTGTAAGAATATTAGAAATCCACCCTATTTTATAACAAATACCAGCGCTTAATGGGCGCAAATTCCAAGTCTAATTTGTTTACAAGATAGATTTGGAATTTGCGGTTTCTTCAGTGCTTACCTGGGATGCCTGAGAAGTACCAGCTCTGTTTTCAAGCTCAGAACATTTTGCAGTAACAGTGGATAAATTACATTTTAACCGGTTCATTTCTTCCAATAGAGAAGAAAATAACTGTTCTCTTTTTTCTGCTTCCTTTGTTTTTTCCTCTAGTTGACTTTGTAACAAGAAGACGTCACTGCTATTGGGTTTGGATCTAAGCTTGTCCTTCAGGTTTTGGATTTCTTTGTCCTTCTCTTCGAGAATATGGTTGTGTTTTTCTTTTTCTTTTTCAAGGGAAAGTATTTTCTAAATGAAACAGAATAAAAAAAGTGACACATATGAATAAGTGTCAGTCTATGCAATAAATGCATTTGCGAGTTTACAGCAGTTCAAGGAGATACTCACTTTGAAAGGTTCCCTCTTAGCCTTTAATTAGCTGAGAATATTACTTTTTACTCAAAACAGATGATACTACAATGGTCATCACAATACTACATTGATCATCTGAAATACTTCAAGTGATAGTAAGAACAGCCTGAAATAGATGAAACAAGGAAAGAATGCAAAGAACCACATTTCACAGACTTGGGAGGTACTGTGTTTTGTATGTGAATACAGATCACTACAATAGATGAACCTTAAAACACAATCAGTACAAAAACTCTTGAACGCTTCCAGTGAAGAGATACATTTCTTAGTGTTGGTTAGCATATTTAGTAGCTTTTGACAAGCAGCAGAGCCTTCTTGCAAACTAAATGACAATAAGTGAAATTGCAAAAGAGTTATAATAAAGCATTCAGGACAAGGATCCTGCTTTCCAAATTATCTGGCCTTTTAGTTTCAAAATGTGCTTTAGTAGATATTTTCACATGCACTGTCTTTTCAATAGGCCTCCAGCACAGGTAATTATTACACAGCATTAATAGTGCATTTGAGATACCCTGGGGCTCTGCGTAAACTTCCGTTATGATAGCATTTCATTTTCCATGAGAAAGGTTGATGTTGAAATCCTACATGTTGGTACCAAGTCATTAGAAAGAAAGGAATTGAATTTTAGAGTGCCTCATTTATGGAGCGGTTGAAGACGACACAGTGCTCACTAGAATTAAAATATTGACACCAAGTGGTACCTAGTGTATCTAAACATGCCTATTATTTTCCACCTGTAAACTAGGAACACAATATTAAGTGCATTACACTGAGCAAGCAGCAAACATGCTAAGGAATTTAGCAACAACAGAACATGAGCTGTCTAGCCATAGCTGGTACTTGCTCTAGCACTTCTCATCTGGCATAGCACAGACACATGAAAAGTGTTTCTGTCAAAGAAGTAACCTAGAAATATTAGTGTGCCTGGTCTCCATGAGTTGTATGCTCTGAAAGGGTCCATTTAAAGTTACCCAGTCCTACTGGGAAACTAACAGTATGTGACTTTGTCATGTATTAAGTCTTCAACTTCTTTCTCCGCAACCATAGACGGTGAACCGATTACAGCTTTACTTACCTATAGCTGAGTGGGAGCTTGAGAATACAGTTCAAGCAAATACTCAGCACTTACTGGCATGTTCTTAGGCAACTGTTTGCAAACACAATGTTCTTTGCAGGAAATGCTCAAAATAATTCTCTGGGACCAACCATTCCAGAGAGCTGGACATATAAGGACAGGTCTTAATTTCAAACTAAAACAGTACTGGTATCAAAGTAAGGTAAGTTTTAAGAGGAAAGGCTGGCACCTTGCTTACGAAGTCAGACATCCTCAGACTCACGTTGACTGTGCACAATTAGGACCTCACAAACGCTACTTCGAGTACCAACATCCACCTCACCTCTCGCAGCCCGTCCTTTTCCGGGTCACTCATTTTGCCTTTCCCTTTCACAGCTTCCTCCAAGGATTTTCTCAGGGCTGCATTCTCTTGCTTGTACTTCTCGAGATCATTCTCAGGTCTGGAGCTACCCGACTTTAAGCTCCACTTGCCACCAATTATACCTTTAGCGGTCTTGGAATTCATCTTTAAGCACCTATAAAAATACAAACGTCACGTTAGGGAACAGCATTCCCTCCCACCAGGCAGAATAGGGCTTCTCACAGAGTTCTAGTCAAGCACGGGCAGCGCAGGGCTTACTGGCTCCTGCCAGC